GCGGCGGCGGCTGCTGAGGGGCCGCCGCGCCCGCCGCCACCGCCGCCATCTTGGGGCCGCCGACAACACGGGCGGGGGGCGCGGGGCACGACGGGAGTTGGAGTCCGAGCGCCTCGGGCCGGGGGGAGATGGGAGTTGTAGTCCGGCCTTTGGCGCCCACGGGCTGCAGGGCGAGCCGGGGAACGGCCGTAGCGACGGAGCCGCCGGAGGGGGGTGTCTCGTCCGTGCCGCGAGCGGGGCTCGGTGCGGCGGGAGGAGCGGGGAGAGCGGCGGGGCGGCCCCCCGGGTGCACTACATCTCCCAGAGGCCCTTGCGGCGGCGCGGCCCCGGTGCGGCGCGCCCGGCGCGGGGCATGCTGGGACGGGGGCTCCAAAATGGACAACCACCGGGATGCGCCAGGTACGGCCCGGCCGGGGCTGCTCCCGCTCCGCCGCCTCCGCCCGGCCCTGCTGCGCCCCCGCGCCGCTCCTCCCCGCTCCTCCCCGCTCGCTGCCGTCCCCCGGCTCCGCCTGGCCGCCGCGGGGCTGCGGGAGCCGGGCTGGGGCTGTGCCCGGGCGGTCGGGGGCTCCCCGGTTCCGTTCGCCCCGGGTTTCCCTCAGGGGAGCCGCGCCGGGGGCTCGGGATCCATCCCCGTTCATTCCCCGCTCGCTTCGCCTCAGGGAACCCGAGCTGATGGCTCGGGATGGCCCCTCTGTTAATTTTTCCTCCTTTTCCCTCAGGAAATCCCAGCCGGTGGKTCGGGGTGGTTTCCCCGTTCATTTCCCCCTCTTTTTCCACAGAGAAGCYGAGCCGCTGCTTCGGGAAGGCTCCGCTGTTGATTTTTCCTCCCCTTTTCCCACAGGAATCCCAGTYGTTCATTCCCTCTCCCTTTTCCCGTAGGAAAGCTGTGCTGGTGGTTCCTGGAGACCCCGCTGTGGGTTTTTTCTGCTTTTCCTTTCGGGAAGCTGAGTTCGGGATGGCTCCCCCGTTAATTCCCCCTTTTCCCCACAGGGAATGCGAGCCTTGGTTCAGGATGATCTCCCTGTTCATTCCCACAGGGATGTGACCCTCAATTCAGGATGATCCCTGTTAAATTTAGGGAATACCCCACTGACTCTGGGTGATTCC